TTTTAATTTAACATTTTTAGAATATATATTTTTTGCTATTTCCTTTAAAATAATTGAAAAAATTTCAAAAATAGCGATTATGACAATTGTCACTTTTCTATGGTACATCTTCACTGAAATTTTATTTTAACATCTTTACAATATATATTTTTAGCTATTTCCTTTAAAAAAATTTGAAAAAGTTCAAAAATAGCGATTATGACAATTGTCACCTATCTATGATACATCCTCACTGAATTTTTAATTTAACATGTTTAGAATATATATTTTTAGATATTTCCTTTAAAAAAATTTGAAAAAGTTTAAAAATAGCGATTATGACAATTGTCACCTATCTATGATACATCCTCACTGAAATTTTAATTTAACATGTTTAGAATATATATTTTTAGCTATTTCCTTTAAAAAAATTTGAAAAAGTTCAAAAATAGCGATTATGACAATTGTCACCTATCCATGATACATCCTCACTGAATTTTTAATTTAACATGTTTAGAATATATATTTTTAGATATTTCCTTTAAAAAAATTTGAAAAAGTTCAAAAATAGCGATTATGACAATTGTCACCTATATATGATACATCCTCACTGAATTTTAAATTTAACATGTTTAGAATATATATTTTAAGATGTTTCCTTTAAAAAAATTTGAAAAAGTTCAAAAATAGCGATTATGACAATTGTCACATATCTATGATACATCCTCACTGAATTTTTAATTTAACATGGTTAGAATATATATTTTTTGCTATTTCCTTTAAAAAAATTGGAAAAAGTTCAAAAATAGCGATTATGACAATTGTCACCTATCTATGATACATCCTCACTGAATTTTTAATTTAACATGTTTAGAATATATATTTTTAGCAATTGGCTTTAAAAAAACTCAAAAAAGTTCAAAAATAGCGATTATGACAATTACCACTTATCTATGGTACATCATCACTGAAATTTTGATTTTACATGTCTACAATATATATTTTTATCTATTTCATTTAAAAAAGTTCAAAAATAATTATCATGACAAATGGCACTTTTCTATGGTACATCACTTAAAAATTTTAAAATATAACTATGATGAATAGTTAATCAGAGCATTATAATTTAAAGAAGCTTTAAGTAACTTTCCCGCCTATAATATTAATAGATACTATATGTTATTTGACTTTTGGTCGAAAAAAATGATCTAGATATTGAGTTAGGGGTGAAAAAAAGCAACCCTAACTTTAAGTCGTCTTTAAAAAGAAAGATCCATATTTTGAGTCGGATTGAATAAAACGACCCGATGTTTGAGTCTGAGTCAGAAAAACGACCCAAACTTTGAGTTGGAGTCGAAAAATACGACCCAAACTTCAAGTTTTAGTCGAAAAATACGACCCAAACTTCTAGTTTGAGTCGAAAAATATGACCCAAACTTCAAGTTTAAGTCGAAAAATACGACCCAAATTTCAAGTTTGAGTTGAAAAATACGACCCAAATTTTGAGTCGGAGTCGTAAAAAACGACCCATATTTTGGGTCGAGGTCGTTTTTTTCGGCTTGGACTTGGGTCGATGTCGAAAAAAACGACCCATATTTTGGGTCGAAGTCGTTTTTTTCGGCTTGAACTCGGGTCAAAGTCGAAAAAAACGACCCAAACATTGAGTCGGAGTCGAATAAAACGACCCGAGCTTTGGGTCGGGGTCGCGACTCGCGGCGTTTTAACAACACTAAATATGGCAATGTTTTGTGCTTTTCTTTTAACTAGTATAAAGAAAAAAATTAGTAACAAGATTAAAAAGCGAAGCATTTCTGTAAATTTTATCAATTTAAAGCATAATTTTATATTAATTAAATCCGTTTAGACGGTATAAAGAAAATTGCAAAAATGGGTATTGTGCACAAAAATGAAAAATATATCTGGCGTTTGCTAATATTAGTGCCTGACTAGTACTTCTAATTCAATTAAATATGAAAACCACAAAAGGAAACTGAGTTATAAAGAAAATGACAACTGTGACGTCACGCTTTAAGCGTTGAGCTCAATTTTTGGAAACACTGATTTGAAATACCAAACCATTAGTAGGGCTTTATTAGCTATTTTATTTGCTTCATTCTGTTTGGTAGTTGGTTTAAATAGGAAAGAAATTATTGGTAAAAATTAAAGAATTAGCATCATGCCAGAACTGAGAATATGTAGGTTCTAATATTTAGAAAGAAAGAGATTGGTTACGTTAAGATTGAAAACTGTCATAATAGCTGATATTTTTACCCTCAAGCGCTATAGTTGAGCGATTTTTTAGTAAAGTAATATTAATACTAACTGCCAATTAAAAATAATCTCATCGAATTATAGCGTCTTTGGGAGGCATCCCGTTTTTTTAGTTTTTCTGTGTCTTTGATATTGTTAATTCGTAGATTGAAATTATTTTACACACTTTTTTAAATAGAAGAAATTTCCTTTATAAATTTAAGGAGGTGGTTTTATCGATTTTAAAAATATGAAAGCAAATTTTCATCTAATCTTAAAAGTACAAAAATCAAGGGGGGGGGGGGGGTTTACGCCACTGTAAATATCTAATTTGTAACAACCAGATTTATAATTATTTTTTAAAAAAATAAATAATTTTTTGGGGGTTATAGGAGGTTGAACCTCTACCCCCTCCCCCCATCCCTTCTCTACGAAGCTGCATGCAATTACCAATATTGTAAAAATTTTATTTTATAAATTTTTCAATGTTCCCCATTAAGTTTAGCTTTCTTTACTATATTTATCAGAGACCTGCAGAGGTACCATTTGTACGGCCCGGCCTGGATTTTTTTTCAAAAATTTTTTGCGGCCCGGCCTGGGTTTAAAAATTTTAGGCCCGCCCCGAATATTAAAAAAAAAAAATTTGGGGGGACCCGGTCCGGCCTGGTATTTTTTTTAAAAAATTTTTTTAGGTCCGCTCGGAATTTTTTAAAATTATATTCGACCTGGTATATACAAAAAATTGATTATTTCGTATTTTATTATATTTTTCGGCGAGTATTATCATTTAATAAGCAAGTATATTAGCTAATGTTGTGAAACGGCTCGTTTTGAACCGATTTTTAAAAACGGCTAACTCAATATTTTCGCCAGAAAAATATTGACTAAGCCTCAAAATTTCAATAATATATGTCTAGACCTTTGCTCCTTCTATGAGCAAAATTTTCAGGCTTGCATAATATTTTTCTGGATAAAAAACTGAGTTAGCCGTTTTTAAAAATCGGCTCAAAACGAGCTGTTTAACAACACTATTTTATTTTTTTTTATTCTAAACAGATATCTTGTATATTACAAATTGATACTATAAAAAATTTGTGTAAATAATATTTTGAGAATATACTATGTATTTATAAAAAAAGTAAAAATGATATTTTAATTAATAAAAAATATAACAGATATTATATAATAATGTATTTAATCCTTTGCGTATTTATTCAATGGCAGGAAAACTATAATTTTATTATGTAATAGATACTATGAGTGTTAGCTAGTGTTAACTTTCACAAAACATTATATTAATCATAACTATATATAATCATTATAACCATATCTAATTGACGAATATAATAATTCATGTTGTATAAATTTTTTAAAAAAAATACGGCTCGGCTCGGGTATTTAAAAAAAAAATTTTTCAGGCCCGGCCCGGGTATATTTTAAAAATTTAAAAAACGGCCCGGGCCTGGCTTAGAGCCGCCTGCAGGTCTCTGATATTTATTTTATTTTTTTCCGAATAAACGTGAAAAAGCTTTAAAAAAAATTATCTAAGTAAATTTATATATCTAGCTATTATATATGTAAATTCAAAATAAAATTAATAAAAAATTAAAATTTTACTAATTTTGAATTATAAATTAAGTATTTAGTGTTAAGATTTATATTTAAATAAAAAAAAATATAGCGTTACTAGCATCACTATCAAAAAAAATTGGCGATCTAATCTAAAGCTACAAAAAAAGTTTAACACAACACTCTGCTACCATGATCTAAACATTAGGCTTTTTCTTATCCAGCTTGGGCAATCCTATTATACTAAGCCTTATACTTGGACTAGCATCTATTTAACTCAAAATTGGTTGTTAGTGTTGCCATGAGAATGTGAATCGACTTTGGCCACAGGTTAATTATACTAACTTCGATAGTTTCCTTTCTTAAAAACATAGTTAGGGGAGAGCGGGGATAGGGTATTGGCGGAGTGCTTATTCGCCATTTTAAACAGGGATTATCTTGGATAAAAAAAATCCAACTATATTTATAAGAACATTAGTAGACACGAGTTTGTCTAGGGTCACAAATGGGAATATGAAGATGGAGCATATTTTGTAAATTATATGACAGTTTTAAGCGACAACAAGTTCTGGGTGACAATATATATATATATAATATAGGTGAACTTATAAATTTAACGTATGACAATTTATTTACTTAGAATTAACATTTTGTAAAAAAAATTTTTTTAATCTAAAATAAAGAAGCTCTATGACACGCAACGTGAAAGGATAATAGGTACATTCTTAAATTTTTATTTTTTTAAATTTTATATTAATAAAAAAACAATTAAAAGATTTTTTCTTAAATATTAATTTGTAGTAAAATATATAAAGAATATATTTACACATTTTTAAAAATATGGCTTATCTATTTTTTATAGCACTTGATTTTTTTATGGACAATATAACTTTTTTTTCAAAACTCTACTTATTTAATAATTATACTGTTTTTTTTTAAATATTTATGTTCCGAAGGATACTGACTACACAAGTATACTTCTTTTTTTACTAAGGGTGTTTAAAAATGGGCCAAAAGTTTTATGAAAATTAAAACATAAATTTATATAATACTCTTTATTTAATATTTTAATATTATTTTATAAATATAATACAGTAAATATCTATAGCACCATTGATTGTAATTTAATTCGAGATCCTTCCTATTTTAACGATCGAGACTTTATGCAGGTAACTTAGACAATTCATTTTTTTAAACTTCTATTAAAGGGCAAAAACTGTAGAATCATTATTGACTTCGACTAAAACATATTTCAATTTGTACGTGTTCTCTTGATTGATACCGGGATGAATTTTCCACAATGGCGGAACTAGTTCACTATTAGGCACAACAACTCTTATTATTTTATTTTTGTTTATGAATAAATTTTTAATGATCAAATTGATTAGCGAGTAAGGTCGAAATGAAGGAATACCCATCATGTGCGAAGACTCAGCGTGTTGAAGTTTATTCGAATCGCGATTTAAAATCGATTTTGCGAAATATATCAAGCACAAAATTATAATTAACCCCAAAATCGGAACTATTATCACTGCATTACGTATAGCTCGCCAATTATAGTTTGAGGCGTGCGATATAATTTTATGTGTTTTTGTGTCATTCCAATTTTGAGCGTTGTTTATAGAATTTCTATTTGTTGATAATTTGAGACTCGTGGCTGCATCCTTAAGAATCATATTGTGATTTGATGCGGGGGCGGAACGAACTTTTGTAGTATAATCTTGTTCTGGGATTTTAGGTTTAAAGGAAATTGTAAAAGGATTATCATTGTACTTATTAAATATAAATAATATGTACGTTAAAATGTTGACTTCAAATATTTCTTTTTTTTTTAAATATAATGCCTAGAAGATATTTTAAAAAATAGATTTTGTAGTGAGTTAGTCTTAGTACAATTTTTTCTTGCTCTATTTTTTCGCACTTAATTATTTTATCGTTAAATTTGTTATTCTATAATTTCCATATTTGTTTTTCCCGTCAAACTTTTGATTATTAAATATATTATAATTTATAACTTAGTCATGCAGTAGCCAAAATTATCCTAAAGGAAGAGTACTTTATACCCTCCGCCCCCCCACAGTTAAATTAATTGTAAGGCTCTCTTCAGCTTTTTGCAGAACTTTGGATAGGTTTTTTAAAAATAATTTTAGTCACTTTTGAAATGTTTGTTTTATAAAAAATACTCTCATTTGGTAAATATTTAATAAATTATCTATTTATTTTTGAAGGATAGTAAAGTGGAAGAGGGGCGTGGAGGGGGGAGATGTAAAGAGATTAGCTTAAAATGATATATGAAAACTTGCAAATTTGCCAAGGATAAAATATCGGACTTTCGTTATTTATAATTGCAGATTTTTAATCTAATTAGCAAAGTTGTTAAGTTAGCTCACAAATAGGGCGCTACTTTGCGCGCTATCTTTTTTGGTAGCTATAGCTAGTGGCACGTTACTTTTTCCAAATTATTTTTTTTAGCGCGTTCCTATTTATGAAAGTAGCTAAATATAATTAATGTAGCTAATGAAAATTTAAAATATAATATCATAATTAATTATAATTTTTTATTTAATTTTGAAATTGAAATTTATATTTTCAATTTGTAATTATTTTCAACCTAAATCATCTGGTGCAAATTATTTAAAATGTCATTCCAAATGGATATCCAAATTGATGTAAGTGAGTAGACAATTATGATATTAATGAAATGGAAGGTACCCTGAAAGAAAATGTTCTTGATAACAATAATACAAATTTTCCGTTTCAAATTTGAAATCTCAAAAAACACCTAAAGGTAATTGTCATTTTTAAATTCTAATAGTATTTTTATTTTGTAAGAATGTTCATGCCAACAGTTTTAAAAAGATAGAAAAACATCTTAATAATTTTGTTAAGGGGATACTACATTCAAAAAGACCAATTCAATTCATGCTAAATTGATTAATAATAATATTGCACATGCCAATATTTCTCAGAAACTGGCTGATAAAGTTTTGTCGATTTTATAATTGATACTGTTCAGCCAATGTCATTGGTTGAATCCATCATTTGCCATGATGATTAAAACTCTATCCTCTAGTACAACAATTTTTTGTCGCCAGACACTACTTATTGAGATAGCAGACGTCCAAGTTAGAACCATAAAAACGACTTCCATTGATATTTTTTTGGAAATAAAGGATTCTAATATAATAGAAAATCCCCTAGTTCATTTTTTAATCTACATACATTTGATTTTCTTATATTAAAAATATTATATAAATAAAGCTAGTGGTGAGAGATTCTTTAATAAGGCGAAACTTATACTTTCTGATTGTCGCTCTAGATTTAGGATGATAGTATAGAAATGATTTTATTATTAAAATGCAACAAAATAAATAAAAAAATGAATATTACCATAAATAATTATTTTTATTACATAAATCGTCGGCCTATAATTGGAGTGCTCCACTTGCGCAAATGTTTAAAATAGAAAATCAACATTAAAGTTTAAAATCAAATATTAGGAAAACCTTATTGATCAATTTTGACAGAGCTATAACTTTGGCAAAATTAATATTTTTTTAATCTAGTTTTTATTTTTATATATATTGAGAATAAGTAAGTTAGTATCCACTTCTAACTAAAAAATTAAATGTCGAGCTCCAATTCTAGACCGACAAAATTATAGTCTTTTTACATAAACTTTTTTATAATCAAACACTAACTATATTTAAATATTTATAAATGTTGATTTTTAGGCATTAAATACTATGCAATTACATTATAAGCAAAAAATAAAACAAATTTATTTCTAAAATTTTTTTATAAAAATTAGCCAAAGCTACATTTACAAAATAGTAGCTAATAGCGCGCTACTTTTTTTTTGATAGGTAGCGATAGCGGCAATGCGCTACTTAAGTAGGGTTGTTAATTAGACTACCTCAACCATCAGGTCACCAAGCATGTTTATGAAGGGTTAAATTATTATAGGACGAACGTTCAATATAATGCCCTTTTAAAACATAGGATGGTCATCTCAATAATGTGGATGAAATTTATTATATTTTCCAAAACTATTTATAACAATAACCCTCTATATAGCTAGTTATAGTAAAATGGAACCTTTCCTTTATTAGAAATGTAGCTTTTTAATGTCGACATGGAGATACAAAGCAAACTTCTTTAAAATCATTTTAATTTTGTATTCTGCTATATTATTTTTATAGTTTTACATTAACTTATGCCTTGAATTAATTACTGACCACAAGACGAGATAATCATGTGAAAAATAAAGGTAGAGACAAAAAAATAATATTATTTTATAACTAAGCTTTATCAATCAATGTGCTGCTTGTTTTACATTAAATATAAAAGGATCAATATATTTTTTTTATCATTGGCGCCTATGCGATATTAATGTTATGTTTTGCAATGTAAATTTTAATATTTTTTTTTATAAGTATCAATAAATATAAATAACAAAGCCTTTTGATTTGATTTGATACGCATACATAAAAATAATAACTTTATGATTCACTGAGGATGATATAGTGATAGGATGTGAAGTGAAATTAATGGTTTGTTTTTTAAAAAAATATTGTTTTAAAATTATACTGTATATAAAATATCATGCAAAAGAAAGAGGGATGTATATTATCTTATCTCGTCTGTGGTTTTAATTTTTTTTATTACCTTATTATTTGTTTGATCCTTCTCAAAATCTCATTAATAAATAAATAAAAAAAACCATAGACGCCTGACGTGAAGTTCATATAGTTAACATTCTTCTGACCTAATTCCATCGCTTAGAGATTACAATGTTATATTTATATAAAATAATTTATAAACTTGTTTTGTTAGTAACCCGTATGCTAAGATCGATTGACCTGATATCGGTATAAGAAATGGTAGTTGAGATTTCGGGCGACATTGGAATCAATTTGTGAGAGTTACATAAGTCATTTCGACAAAAATAAACGATAGAATAGTATTGACCACCGTCATTTCCCAGTTTTGAAACGTCAAAATCTTCCATGCATCCATAATCATGTTTTCCATTTGAGAAATTATAAAACACAGTTTCTACATCTGTTAAGCTAGGTCCATCAGCGTCATCTACTAGCACTTTCGAACGTTTGAGGTTTAAGATGGAATAGCATTTTGTTTTGGATTTGCACATATAATTCGTGGGGACGCATTGCGGAGAGTTGCAGAAACATACAACTTCGGCTAAAACATATGTAAATAATTAAAACAATATTTCAATCAAATTAGTTAAAAACATTGTCTAATCCAAGTATTTTCTTTCAAAGATCCTGTCTAAAACTTTACTTGATAGGTTTAAGTCCTATCCGAATTTTTTTTAATCATTGGGCTATTGAAATTGTGTTTTCAATCAAAAGGAAAAATTAAAATCGCTGAAGAAAAATAATTTTGATATTTAAATTTATAAAAACATTAATTAAAACAAAATAATTTAAAATTTTGTCGAGTTCCTAGTCCAGCCGGAAATAAATTTTTAAAATCAAGGTCCGTCTGACCGAGAGACAATCTATCCTGTCTGATCAGACTCCGATTGACCCGAGTTGGGTTGGGTCTGATAGTGCAGGTCTCTATAACAAATGTATAAATAAAATAAATCATTTAGGAGGTATAACAATTGCACATTAAAATTACAAACATGTATTTGTAATTTGCAAAAATGTTAAATATATATATTTTAAAAAAAAATTACCTTGTATAATTGAGAATTCTTGAATTCTTGTTTGGGATATTATGAGCCACAAAATAATAATTGAAGACAAATTCAACAAACTCGTGCTTTTTAATTCTATGGATTCCATTTTAATGTAAAAATAAAATAAATTAATATTGGAAAGGAAAATGATAAAATGAAAGAAAAAAAACACCAAAGAAAAATTTCAAATGATTATCATAAAAAATATTAATTTTTCAAATTTCTTGAGGGTGTTGGTTTTAAAAAATTACAATATTAAATTTAATAAGATAATATTTCTTTTAATGAAAATTTAATTTATAAATAATTAACTTTTATAAAAAAATATGTGTATTATATACATTTATATTTTTATATGTGTAGGGGGTAGGGCTATATAAAACAAAAAATCTGAATATTTTTTATAAAAATATAGCGACCCAAACAGCTGTTCAACTTTTATGTTTTTCAAACAAAAAATAATATAATTTTCACCTTATTGACGCCACCAAGTAATCTATTTTTAATAATGTAAAAATATTTCAAAATGCGCGTTCACACACAAGACCATTATATTGTAATACGATGATTCTTTCAGCAGTGACCCTCCAGCTATATCTTTTTACAATTGCTCTATGGTCACGGTCGATATGTACTTAGTGATAGGCTAATAAGCCGCTCTTAGCGCTCAATATTTGAGGTTTCATTGCTGTATATTTTAAATATAATAACAATAAAAAAAATTACATTACATTTAAAAGATAAAAGAATAAAATTGATTATCTTTGTTTTGGCGTTGTAGAAGATAATTATGGTGGTAATTATGTAATAACATATTTTATTTTTAAGATTCAAAAGGGAAGTCAGGCGCCATAAATTACTCTTTTAAATTGATGCTATATAAATAATGTCGATTATTTATAAAATACATTTATAATTTTTTTTATAAAATACATTTATAATTTTTTTTATAAAATAATATTTTTAACCCGAATGAAGTGAAATAGAAGTGGTCACATGATTAATATTGTATACATATATTTTTCAGTAATAGAGTCACAAGGGAATCTTAACTTGTATACTATAAGGTCCTTGACAAAAATACTCTAATTTTAATCATTTTAAAATATTTCAAACTAGTATTAGTAACAAATGATGACAATTTCGAAAGATGGAGACCTTGATCATCCTTTCCCATAGACGTAATAGCTACAGAGGAATCTGCTCGCGGCGTGGAAGAGTCTTAAAGGTTTTAGAAAATTTAAGGTCTCCAAAAGAAAAAATATTTAACTTTTAAAAGATTTATTACATTTTGATTACAACTTCTATACTATTCTCAATACCCTCCATCCCCCTGAGCTAATATGCTGAAACCTCCCTAGGGGGTCGCTCTGACGCAGGTGCCACACTCAATGACTCCTGCAACAGAGTAGGTATGAAACAAGTGCTTCATTTAATTTGCAAGGGAGGGAGAGGGATACATAAATTTAAAACGATTGTTTTAACTTATAACATTTAAAGCCTTTAAAATTTATGTATCTTCATCCTATCTACTCAGTTCAGATATCAACGATATATTATCTGAGAGATCACGATTTTAATTTTTCAAAAACTTTAAAAGGTTATAAATAAAATTCTTGAGTTATATAAGTTTTTACATTGTTCTATAATAACAATTCCAATTTATAAGGCATATATTTGTCTTTTATTCTTAAATTTAGTTTTGTATAGGAAATTTTATTTATATAATTCATATAATTTTATCTTTTCTATACATACATTCTCACGTGCAGTTTTCAATATATCTCATTTCCTCTTCATCAATCAATGAATACCTATAATCTTCTGGATATAAACCAGAAACTCTGAATCGTATTCGACTTTATCTTCTATTTTACGTATTTTCCAGGATTTGTATTTGTATTTATTTTCATTAGGAGAGACATTTCATAGTCAAATGAACCAATCAAAGCCCTCCCTTCCTTCCAAAAACTTTTTCAGATCTTAAAAAACTTTTTTTTAAATATTGAATAAAATTATAGTTGACTAATGATTAAAATCTCATATCTTCCATACTCGGCTCAACTTGAAAATTTGCATATTTATTTATTAATCTTATAATTATTCATAAAAATGGTCGTTTCCAATTTATGTCATTTAAAATTTTTAATAATATTTAGCAAAGACCTGCAGGCAGGCTCGGTCAGGCCTGTGGAGTTCGGAATCGGTATTAGAATAAAATTTGAGTTCGGAAAAGAAATTTTTTTTTTGTTAGCGACCAGATTTTTAAAAAAATTATTTTCCGAAGTCAAATTTTAATCTAATACCGATTCGGAACTCGATTTAGTCTGGTCGGATCACGATCTGGATTGGTCAGGCGGATGGATCAAAAATTTAATAATAGGCTCTACCTCATTTTTATAACATTAAGAAGATAGGAAAGTTCCTTGATAAAATTACATTTTAAGAAAGTAGGAAAATCATCAATTATAGATTACGGAAATAATATATTAGATATTGAAAAATAAGTTTTTATAGTCAGAATTATATTTTAAGATTATTATTTTTATGAATAAATTTATATTTTATGTCATATGAGTATATAATTATTAATTCGAATGGCTGGGGTTATTAAATTTTACAAATGTGAGTACTTTCTAAAGGGGGTATATTTTTCCAGGATTATCATCCTTCAGGGGATCGTGGGGCATAAAGCTACTGACCCCAAAAAAGTTATTCTAAACGGTACAGTTTCTTAGTCTCGTTTCAGCTAATATTATCATGCCTGACTCCCTTTCTTTCGGCTGTGCACCGATGGGATAATTTTAGGTATTTATATAAAATATATGTTTTAAAAGCTAGGAGGTAAAATAAAGAATTTTTTGTCCCCTATACAAGAGAGGGTTGGTTATGAGGCATAGATACTAATACTAACTTCACACAAAAATCAATGCTAGACGAATTTAAAAGAAATAAATGTATATTATAACAATTATTCAGTTGCGAAATAAATTCTAGAACCAAAAAATAATTAAAAATTTCCAAAAAATTCTAGAACCAAAAAATAGTTAAAAATTTCCAAAAAAATCTGGGTCGGCCTTTAAAATGAGAATTTTTTAAATCCTGGCCTGGCCTAAAATTTTGATCTCTGCAGGTCTTTGGTAAATATTAATTGAACTCTCCTTATATAGAAACAACATTAGACATAAATTGGCAAAACACCCCTGACTGAAATATCAAGGATAAGAGTACGCTTTTATATAATTAGAAATAAGTGATGATCACTTGGAGGTTTATTCACACCTGTTTTGATTAATTTTTAAAATCTATAGACGAAAAATTAATCAAATGACTCAAATCATATCTTATATTTAAAACATAAAATTTAATTGGAAATATTCTATGTAAATTTATTGTTTTAGGAATACTTTTCCCTTAATTTATTTAGAAATATTTGCAATATTATATCTTTTAAAATATTTTATTATATATTTTGATATATAGTTGTTTTTGTTTTATTCATATTTTGAAATAAAGTTCATTATAATAAAAATATTTGTATATATTTAAAGAATTTTATGATAAATTCTAATGCAACAAAAATGGATTACATCTTATAATAAGCATCTCTAATTCCATAAAATAAGGGACTTAATGTGAAAACTTTTATAAAAATATGCCTGTAAATTGACAAATGATAACTACTATTTTGTATAGTGTAATAAAAACATTATCCCGGCCTATAAAGGTGTAATGTGTGACGTGGACTACCAAAAAATGCCTTATACTTTTTTGAAAAATAATATAAATACATAAAGAATGTAGAGAAATTGCAAATAAAAAAATTCTAAGAAAAATAAATATCTTATAATTTTTTGCCAAATAATTCGAAACTTCATATAAATATAAAAGCTTTATAAGAACCGGTTTTATCATTGGCGTACGCAGCGGGGGCCCAAGCCAAAAAATGCAGATGCCGGATAAATTTTTTAAAAATATTATTGTTTATATTAAGTTGTATTTTATAATATTTAATCCTTTCTCTTTCGTTTTAAATATATTTAATTACATTTATTTATCACATTCATTTACTTATTTTATCAATTAATTTCGATTTCAAGTTTTTCTTGGCGCAATATTTGTCTATTTTCTAGTCAAATAATAATTATGGACATAAGAAATTTTTTAAACATACTGATGATGATGAAAATCCTAGTCATCTTACAAAAAAGCAAAAAAGTACAAATAATTTTATAACATTTCATAATTAGACTAGAAGTAAAACATAAGCTTCTTAAAAAGGTAATAAAGATACCTAAGATTAATATTTTATTTAATAATAGGTTTATATTCTATCCCTCAAATTTCACACAAACTTTATGTGCTAATTGAAAGTTAAAATTTCAAAACAGCTATTTTACTAGATGGTTGTGGCTAGAATTCTCTACCGAGACAATGGAGCTTGTTGCAAGTTATGAGTCCTGTTAGTTAAGTCAACAAGTACAAAGATGCTGGATAAATCTTTGACAATAAAACAAATTTATCACAAACGCGGTGAACTCATTATTTCTTCAAATTAATTGTGGGGATATGATTCCCATTTTATCACATATTGACAAAAATAGGATTAAAATAGCAAAAGAAAATAGAGATCAAGCTAATTATTGAGGCTATACTATATTATGGATTGCAGGGCCCAGAATTACATGGTCATTGGATTCAGGAAGCATGAATTTCAATAATAATTATAATGAAGGTAATTTTCGTGGTCTTGTAAAATTTCAAGCATTAGGAGATTCTGTAAACAGAATTATTTCTGAAACTCCTTGTCCAACAAGGAGGAAAACATTGCAAAAAGCTTGTCCAACGAGATGGAGTCTTTGCCATCAAAACAGCTTTTATAGAGTTAGAAGAGTTGATTATTATGTTCTTACTGAAAAATTACACCTGAAGGAGATATATCCTCAGAAGCAAGCATATCATTGGTTTCAATACTTACTTTTTTTTCTCATTAGAATATATATTATGTATTTTAAAAACATAACATTGACTTGATTGAAATGATGAGAATAGCGGAGAGCATATTATTAGAACTCAGGGAAATTAGGGCTAATGTTATTGAATAAT